TTTTTTTGCAACTATCGTCTTACATTACAATTGGCTTACAGAGTGGTACATATAACTCACTCTAATCAGCCTAAATCTTAAAAATTCATAACAATAAATTTTAACTAGCTCCAACTGAAATCTTAACTGATTTAAAGAAGAAGAAATAGACACATATCCACATTGTTTTCATTCTAGCACAGTTAAACTCCTGAGTTGTTTTTAAATTCAATTTGTAAAAAAATGACATTCACTGTCTAATCTGTATCCAAGTATCACAAAGTTTAGTTCATAGGCCTTTTACAAAAGGCAGCAGATTAATCTTGAAAACTAGTTTATATGGCATGAAAAGAAACACATGACAGTGTTGTTGGTGCGATATTGTCAAAATAATGCCATCTAGAATAAATAAACTGGTTCGGCTGGAAAATTATTCATCAGAAACACTTGTACAGAGTACATCATTAAAATTATATACGGTCCTCCTTAGGGAGCGTCTACAGAGCGTCTGATAACTGAGAGGTCTCTCAGAGCTGAGTGCTAAAAGTATGCAAAAGAAATTTATTAACTGCTACCAGTTAGAGAACCACTGGAAACCAGGGAGTACCGGATAGCTGCCTTGTCCTAATTTGTGACTTATCGGCAGAACGCACCCACCGCCAGAATTCAAATCCAGGACCTTCCGGTTGTAAGTCAAGCTCGTAGATCGTTCAGCCATTGAGTTCAGACTCAGTGTCCCATGAATTTTACCTCCTACCAATTCGTGATTTTGAGCGACCACCAGCCAATATCAATAATGAGTATTTGGCCTCACTACCGACCGGGTGGATGTCGCTGGTCATGGTTCCCCATGACGTTCTGGGTTAGATTCCCAGTAGGGTTGTTAGTGCATACTGTCGACGAGTCCCAAACTTGTACGAAACAGCTGTCCAGTACTCCATATTTTTCTGTGGTCCTCTAACTGACATCAATCCGTGGTCAAACTTGAAACAAATCAAATCCTTAAAAACTGACTAATGAAAATTTGATGATAGTTTTCGTGCTATCCCAACTGCCCACATAATTGCAGTCCTGATCCATTGTAAAACGAGATACATTTCTCGTGCACTACGATATCAAACCTTAGAAAATCTAGTGAATGTTAGGTAGATTTTCTACTATTCATTATCGTTTGTTTTTAAACACAACGGAAACTCATCTTTAAAATATAAGAAATGACTATGCGATATGAATAATAAGATATAGGTCAGCAAAGACTATTCTTTTTATAATTTCTCTTCATTGGAAGTTGTACAGTTATATAGCGTCCTAAAAGGTCATGAAAAGTGCTTATAAAGGTCAATAATACATATCATTTTGATAAAAAAAAAGCGTGAAATTACATATCAGCAAGAGAAAATGAAGAAATTGTGAAACTTGGTTAAGTAGTCTTATGTAGTCTAAAGACATACGGGAATGATTATCATACGTATGAAGTATGTTTCAAAGTTAAGAGTATGAAAAGAAAACTGTTACATACCAAATACCATACAAGTTAAAGAAAAGGTTTAAGACCACGGTAGTAAAAAAGACTGGACAAATTGCTTCTGTTTACGGAATCCAGCATTTCCGTTGTGTATAACAAGAGCTTCTACTGTGGACAGGAAACTCTTCAAACGACTTGGTCTAACCTTATATATATATATATATATATTACTTTGAAAGATTGCTTTGTTAATGCAGAATCATATATTATAACAGGGTAATTAAGAGTTCATCTAACTCATCCTTTTAACAACCATACTGAGGGGTGTTCTTGTTGACATTTATTCAATATATCTTACTGGTACGGTCTGTGTACTTATTCCCACAGAGGCAAATGAATTGATACATATCTGTATCAAACTGATGCTAATAACTGACCTTTATCGGCATTTGCATAACATTTTAGAACACTGTATAACCATTGAGATTTGAGGGGTTGTGAATATTGAATATCATTGGTGACTGGCCCTATTCAGGTAGGTAGTTACCTGAGGTTCTAGTGAGAAGTCGTGACCAGTAGGGTGCAGCAGGTTGGGTGTGAGGACAAATACTCGCCAAAGACATTGGCTGGCGGCTGCGCTATATCATGAATTGGCAGAAATTAGAATTCATGGGCCAGTGGCTTAATGGTATACGAGCTGGCCATGTAACCAGAAGGTCCTGGGTTCGAACCGTGAAATCCTGTAACCAATCAACCAAATCCTTACAAACCAATACTTGAATAAATATTCTTTACTGACCAATATTTTCAACTATTCTTTATAGGTGTAAATAGAGATTTATTAATGCAGTATACACAGTTTTAAGTTCTAATTTCAGAAATATTCAGAGTGAAAGTGAAACCATTCAGCTTATGTAAACATTATGTTAGAAATTAACTTACAATAAGGAGTGATTCATACTGGAATACACTAAAGTTTTGATATTCATCTTTCGGCTTTTTTAGGGATCATGATTAATTCCACTGTAGATTTCATCACGAACCGACAACAATTACAGAATCATTTTAAAGCAAATAGCACCGCCACCAACCGATGCTATCGATGACAATCCATTCCCTTCACAGCTGAATTGTGTTGAACCCTACGGTTATGAATTTAATTAGAACTTCAGGATATCTGTTTAGATTTGAGACTTTTTGATGATATATCGTGAATGAGTAGAGATTAGAAGTTCTGGGTCAAAAGATTTTATCCCAGTGGCTGAATGGTCAATGGGCTGACTTCATAACCTGAAGTCCCTGAGTTTTATCCCTGGTATGGTCAAACTTGCACGCTGTTGGAGTGTCTAAAACTAGAATACAGTAGTTGTTCAGTGCTCCTTTACATTTACTGATTCTCTAAATGATGTAGGCTCGTGACGAAATCGTTATTTTGCTTTTCTTTTCACTTTTTTTTTCACTGAACTTTTTATGCAAATTTTTATTGCTTACAGGTTGCTTTGTAACGGTACATTTTTAATTATTTATTTTATTCCTTTACGTTCCCAGTGGAACACAGGGCTTCAAGCTAGAGCTTTGTAGTTCCGGTAGCAGTGGTGTTTAATTTTACGGGATGGAGTTGCTAGCCTCATGCCCCCTGCCTCCCCTCTTTACCAGTCTTGTTACTGACCTAGCGAGGTCTAAGAGCGCGTCAGTAGGCCGAGAATCGAATCCCGAACCACCTACGTGGTTGGCGAGTATTCTGCCGCCGTGCCACCGCAACTGTACATTGCTTCTTGGTATTTTAGAAAACAAAAGGATTGAGCGAAAAAACAGTTACTTTTCAGCTAGATCCTTATATTTTGTACTTCTGGAGTAAAAAGGAACTTGACCATTTTGTTCTGGGCATATTCATTTTTGATTTATTAGGTCGTATGTCAAGTTTGTTAATGCTATTTACACTTTATGAGGTTCATATAATTTAAGGATGATAATAATCATTTCAACAGCTAATGGTCTCAGTTCTAAAATTCATTGTTCTTTGCAAGAATACTGTTTTCTCTCTGTTAGAACCCAGTTGTTCGGAAGATGTTTTTCATGTACCAGGCTGTGAACCACATTGTTGTGTGACGACTGAAGTAAATAACGCGGGATTCGAACTCGGGAAGCACTGGTTGAAAGCTGAGTATTGAAGTCAATGTGTTACATTTCCATAAGCTTTTCAATTGTCTGTGTGATACAGATGTGTTTACCTGCCGGTTTCCTGGAGATTTCTAGTCACTTTACTGGTTGTTTATTGATTTTTTACGATTCACAAACTCTTAATAATGCGGGTTTTCTTGTTATTGGTTTTATTCAAATTTATTTGCCTTTTCAAGTCAGTCTGACTTATAAGAGCCATGGATAATAATAATAATAATAATAATAATAATAATAATAATAATAATAATAATTTGCTTTATTCCAAAACAGTACTTGTGATACAGAATGGAATTCTCAGCATTTTTACTACAGTATTGCATCCAGTTAGTACATTGTCAATAAAATAGAATTCTACATAGATTGAGGAAACCACAGTTCATTATTACAACAATACATTGGCATGTCGGTAGCAAAGGTAAAGCTGAACAGTGTTTGAAGGTGTTAGAAAAGTGGGAGCTGTCTTATTAACTGGCGTAAGCGAAAGAAAGAGAACAAAGCAGCACATAACGGAAAAAGAAGAGAGAGGACAGGAACAGAAAGAAAGGAAATGTTGAACCTATTGATGAAGTGGGTTGGAAAGATGAGATCCAGTTGTACTACTGACTATTTAATGAATTATAGGTGTCACGCCTAATGCTTTCTTTATCACACAGAACGCGAGCTAAGTAGGGTATGGTTGAGTTTTTGTACTTGCTGGTACGAGCATATAGTTTTCTATATTGGCTTCTGGTTTTACCTGATGAGATGCAAGGGGAGAGTTGTGAGTGAAGAGGGTGGTGTGAGTTAGATAAAATGGACTTGGCCCATTTTTCACATGAGTCCATGTGCCTGTCAACCAAAATATTAACAAGCTGGTTAAGTGGCACGTTGCTTACTCTGCTGACAACATTTAACATCCTGCGTAATATGTTGTAGTCTTTCTTCAGTAGCCCAGGAAAAACTAAGGGGGAACAATAGAGAATAATAGGCAGGATGCGAGAATTAACGAATTGTAGGAGTAGGGGTTGGGTAATACCAGAATGTTTTAACTTCTTAATGTAGAAGGCAAGACGGAATATTTTCTTAGAAATTGCTAAGATATGAGACGATTCTGAAAACACATTGATAAAATTACATTTGAAACCTGTGTATTAAATTAACAGCTTTGTCGATTGGTCAGAATTATTTATACTTCGGATGATGGTTAAAAGTGAAATGCACTAGAGGCCTGTGAATTACTAGTCTGGAGCTCTACCAGGTGAGGTACAAAGCTCAGCTACTGGTTCAAGTTCAATCGTGGCCAAAGTTTTCATAGCAACTTAAATAATTTCCTAGGTAGTCTTGTCGTCAGTTATCATTAAATTAGAATATAATATTTAAAAATTATTAATGATTTGGTTATTGGCAATAACAAGTACAATTTAAGTTATTTATGTAGGTTCAAAAAATATTCGGGAAAAAAAATGTTATCAGCTTGATTTCGCAGATTTCCAGTTGATATATGTGTGTTGAATAGTCTTCTACAGGATTAGTTCGTCGAGATCTTCATAAACTAGAATAGAAAAGTATAAAAATTAGTCACTTTTGTTTAGCCTCGTTAACTGTATATTACTTATAAGTAGTTATCTGGTCAGTGGTGGCTAGCAGTGGAATTTCGAGATGGATATGATATTTCGTCTTATTTGGGACTCGTTGACCAGATATACCTGCATTCCCAGTGGGTGATGCTATTCCAGATGGGACTCAAACCCTGCAGAAATTATTTTAAAAAGTCAATGGTTATCGTCTGGGCCACGGGAGTCCTCTCCTGTTCAACGGTTATCTGTCGTTACTTGGTCAAGTTATTTCGCGGTGATTGATTTAACTTGTACTGAGTTTTCCCATTACTCACCGCAGATGAAGGCACATCAAGTTGTTAAGTCATAAATAGGACAGAATATGCATCCTCCAGTCCACAGTCAGCCCTCGTTAACAACAGGTTCTTCAAAAATCGTCAAAGCGTTTGTATTAGGAGTCAGCTTGTCGATAGGGACCCAGGATTATTTCTGTGTAATGTAAATCAGTTGACCGGAATTATAGTATAACATAAAAAATAAATGCGCCTAAGTAGATTACGAATAATCTCAAGGAGCTTACTGCTAAGTCAATAATGTATACACCACAAATATTACGTGAATTCAGAAATCATTCATTAGAAATCGTTCATAAGATGAAAAGTTATTTGCTTATCAAGAAAATATTCTAATAACTCTAATGTTATTCAGAATCGGTGAGTTACTTCTAAGTTTCTGACACTGCCCAACACCGGAAACTAATTCTGACTCTTTGAGGTGAACAATTACTGGAAGGCAGTCAGATTAGCAATGTGGAGGCTGATGATTCATCCCAAATTTTTCTTTCAACATCGATCGCCCCTCAATAAGTCAGTAATAATCTACTAAACAGTATTGCCATCAGTTCGCATTTTTTTGGTTAGGTTATATTCGATAATCTTAGCCAGGCACACTATTTTGATGTGATGTAGTTGGCAGTTAAAGTTACGACAAAAGACGGGAATTTAAAGGGTTCGTGCCACTTATCTTTAAGTTGCCTGTCTATCAGCTAAACTACCGCGTTCCTATTAGTTTATCTAGAGGAGCTCGACTACGTCTTCTATCAGTAGCTGAAGCGGTTGCAATTAATACCAGAAGACCATCTCTTTGCATACAGAAGAAGTATGTTCAACCTCTATACTTACCTTTGCCTACAATAAAGCCAACAAATCCTCCACTAACACTATAAATTCCTTTCACAATTTTATTTTCTTTCCTTCTTTTTCTATTCCTCTGTTTCTTTGACAAACGTTCATTTTCGACTTTTATGATTTCATAACCTTTCTTATGATTTTATTACCTTAGGTTTAAATAGTGCTTTTCTAACTTGCTATCGTATTGACAAAATCCTGTTCATTCCACTTCATTACATTCATTATTATTATTATTTGACAATCATTCACTAATAGTGCTTGTAATTTTACACCATTTCATCGTTATTATTTTACAATCATTCTTATTGTCGTTATTTTCAACCTTGAACTTATGTCTAGTCCGCCCTATTCGTTGGTTTATTTTCATATTGTCTCTCACACACTCTCGAAACCTGTATTTCTGATGACTATATTTATATATACACACATCATTAAAAAAATTACTTCATCTCATTTTGTCCCATGTTCTCATTGACCATGGATATTAAAAAACTATCTGACTATTGTTCCGTCCCATCTTATACTTGTTCCACAATACACTTTCTGATATGATTCTAATTTGCCTTTACTGGCTATTGTATGCTTAAATTAATGGATTTATAATTGTAGAGCCTGAAGAAGAATTTATTGAAAACAATTGTTCGCTCTAAATATTTTGCTCTTAACTACAAAATCCAGATAATCGGATAGCATTCTGATGTAAACCAGATTTTCGTTTTTACCACACCTGCTTATTTCGAATGACGCTGAGACACTGTAAGTATGCTTCAATGAGACTGCAAAAGCTTGACATCACAGATACCTTTACTATCATTTTTTCAAACAGATTTTAGTATTAGTGATCTTATCAAAATGAGCAATGCATATCAAGTCATAATAGTCAACATCTTTCTAAGATATTACTGTGTAACACTGTGTGATTTATCAAAATAAAATCTTATCCATAATGGAGTTACACTCTACCACAGTGCCCAAGTTTTATACTTATATCTTTCTGAGAAGTTTATTCGCGAAAACCTTCCCTGCATGTCACTGTTTTAGCTAGTTATCAAAGATAACTTTGATTTGGTTTATTGAACATCCCTGTTTAGAGGCGAAAGTTAGTGTTTTGTTGCTTAAGTTTATGTGTTTTTCAAATTAATACCATTTCAAGATATTGTTGAACCCTGGAGAGTTGTATGTAACTGAAGAGACTGCTTACTTCCATAGGGTAACTTAAATACCCCAGGAGACTTGTCAGTTACGTAATCTATTGTATTCATTTCCACCAAAGTAGATAGTCATGAAGATTGGCGATAGCGTTCTGCTTGATTAATCCAACACGTATACCTAAAATCTCTGAGTACAAGGGTTCTTAACCTTGAAACTTCAACCACTTGTAAGATGGTGGTGACTATAAAATTTCATATTTTCTGATAATTACTTAAAACATGCAGGACTTGTTTAATATGTTAAATGATTTGGACTACAGTATCTAAACACCATCACCATGTCTCTGTCACGATGCAGGCATTCTAGTACGAGTTCAGAGGGTAGGAATTAGGATAGTAAAGGGACTGTGTATTCTGTCATATTACAAACGACTAGATCTGTTTTCGTTATCTTAAGGGCGAGCAAAAAGGTATTGCATGGGCGTACTGTATCTGAAATACTGATTTATAAGGTAACTTGCTGGATTTATTACTTCCTTTGAAACTTGTCAATTGAAAAATCGAAAAACCATGGTCTAATGGTTTACATCCAAGAATTCGTTTCTCCTGTTCACTTGTTAGCTATTAGAACTACCTACTAGGTTATATGACATGAACATCCAGTTTTCCTTCCGAAAGAGTAACATTGGATATTCATTGTTTGAAAGACGTGGTCTACTTATGTGTGTTATGTAAAACTACAGCCAAACTAAATAATCTATCAGTCAAGATTCAAATTGTTTCAATATTGATTGCCTGTCCATTGGTTAGACAAACGGCCAATCAGATTACACCACGTTGGTTAACGCCCACTACTCTGCCCGTTTTGTTGCACGATTATTATTTTTTCATTGTAATTATTTATTTGTTTCTCATTCGGCTGGTTGGAACACGTGCTCCAGTTTCGACTAGACACTAACTAGTGTCATGCATTTAGTCCTTTGTTTGGTGCAGACTGAATTCTCTCAGTCAAGTTTACAAAGTGACTGCCTTGCTAGGTGGCTCTCCATCATTGTGCACTCAAGATTGTCGTCATTTAGATTGTTGAAGATAATCTGCAGGAAGCTTTGGTTCATCTTAATGACAACAATGCCCTAGTTTTATTGTAGGAGTCTTCTATAATATTATTTGGAGCTCAGGAAAATCCACCAGGAAATTTTCAACCGTTCATTGTTAACTGATCTGGTGTAAATACCTAGTAACCGAAATAACCACCCCTCAGGAGACTATTGATTTAACTTGTTACTCATCATTGTGAAATTTTAAAAATAACTGTCTGTTGTGTGTAACTAAAAGGGTGAAATAACTGTAAGGTTGGGCTTCTAACAGCAATCGAGCGATTTTTGATTAAAGCTGCTCAAGTATTTTCGATTTCTATTGGTAGATAAAGATGTTTCGTCACTTCATTGCTTTTAGAGACCTTCTTGTATCTCAGAATCTTTTGCGCTTACTATTCATATCCGGAACAGGTATAATAAATAATGCATTAATCACTTTACAGTGTAGTAAAATAAACTGATGAACGTATTACTATTATTATTCCCTTAAGTTCCGAGTGGAACATTGGACTTGAACAGCACATCATCACTTCATCCTGTTCTCCTCAATACTCTTTACTGGCTCCATGACCGCCCACCATCGAACCAACTCGTCACTTCCCATTCAGGTTCCACTCAAGGGCTTTGTGTGTGATGCCACTCGAAGGTCTCCTCAGTGTATAACCGATCAGTCTTCATTCTTTTCGGCATATTTTTTGGGCGGTAGGTTTTTAGTCGGATTGTTTCCGTTTCTGGCCATGTGATCCTCACTGTGAAATGAAGACAGCTGTTGATAAAAGTCTGAAGCCTGTTCGAAATGCTTTTGGTAATGCGTCTGCCGATCCCCGAAATCACATAGAAGAACTGACTTGATATTAGTGTTGGAAATCGAAATCTTTTCCTTTATACTGAGCGCAACAAATTTCTTCACTAATCTAAGATTGACGAAAGTCTGTCTTGCCTTTCCGAACCTGGCTTCCTGCAGTTGTAACGATGCTGTCTGAAGAAGTTTCTTCCTTCGAATTTCTCCCGATCATGGTTACTGGTGCTTGTTGTTGCTGGCTAGACAGCCTCATCACCTCCACCTTCTCTATGTTTGCTTGAAGTCCTCTCTTCGCTGCTTCTTTCGCCTACTGATTGTTTTTCACTTGTAGACCATCGACGTTTTGTGACATTAAACATAAACTATCCGTGGAGTCTAAATTTTCTTGAGTCTTCTATCAGTCCAAAGTATTCCTGTCTTCCGGCTCCTCATGGCCTGCCGCAGGATTCAGTCTACCACAGTTAGGAATATCATCAGTGATAGTAGCCAGCCTTATTCTACTCCTGTCTCCACCTCAAATATTTCACTGAGTTTACCATCGTGAATCACTTGAAAGTGTTAAATATCCACAATATCGCCTTATATTAAAGTAACTATATTTTGCAGGCTTAAACTAGCTTAAACCGTTGGCTACTGACGCAAAAGGATATGCAAAGTATGACTGGAGAATTAGATGCCCAACCTCATCCAAACATTTAAATTGGTTATATTGGTAGTTTACACATATGCCTACATAAATGGCTGCAATAAAACCATGTCCATCAACTCCTAATTCTATATACATCTTGAAATAATAGAGAAGATTTGTAGCTCAGGTGGATGATTTGCAATTGAAAGTGTTCTCTGAGCTGGTTGGTTTAGTCGCGAAGCTTTCGTCGTCCGTCCGGACAACATCTTCAGCGCCATATTTAGCACAGAGTGAAATGATTTAAATTTCTTCATGCGTGATGTAATTGCGTCTCCTGGTTACTATCTTCACATATGTATTGACCACTTTCTATTGACTAGGATTTTAAACTTTTTGGTCACCTGATTTACTTTTTAATAATTGGTATATTTCATCTATATTAACGTGTTTGTTAATCGCATTTTCGCTTGAGTACCAGGCTTCTAGGAATTCTCTGGCACTTTTCGTGTTTCCTCTGTTTAAGATTTTGACGTGATCCCAATCAAACATCTATAAACTACTTTTCAATAATAATAGTTTCCAGCCTTTCTAGTGTCCAAGTGAATATCGCGTCTATTGTTCATTAGTAGAATTCTCACCAGTTGCACATTTGGGAAGTCCAGCTTACAGTCTCCGCTTGTGGTGATAGCTGTCTGCAAGCCAAAATTGTAGACACCAATTTACGTCAATGTTACATCCTGAATCGGGGTCATGAGAAAAAACAATAACAAAGCCTAACCTTGAGGAACTCACCAACCAATCACAGCAGACTTAAAGTGTGCAAATACGATTCGCAGATATATGGCCTGACCGTCTGAGAAATGACTACAAAGAGATGACAGAATAACCTTCAGCAAGAAAACAACCAATCAGAAGACGTTGCTGCTCTGCTAACAATAACGCTAATAATAATGTCTATAAAAATCTATAAATAAGTCTTGATTTTCTCAATAAACGATCTGTTACCTGGCCCTTGTTTTCTCCCGTCACACTCTGACATACTCCTAAACCTAACCTGGTTTATTAGTCAGTAGTAAGCCCAGAAAAGACAGAAGTCTCTGGCATGAGACTAGTAATATCACCTCATAAAAACAACACTACAATTACTGGAACTTCAAAGTTTGAAGTCTAACGTTTCACTAACAATTACTAATCAGGCTTTAAATGAAGAAAATTGTTGTTAATCATTTGAAAATTCACACTGCCAAGCAAAATTTAATCTCACCTCAGGTAAACGTTCGTTTTTACTTTCTATAAATTCCATAAAAGCGTTATAACCATGAGTTTCTTTCATTCTGTGATTTAAACTATTTACTAATTCTTTGTGTGTTTTAATTTTCGTATTTTCAAGGTTACTGTTATGGATTTTCTCTTTTGAAGCATTCTTATCATTATCACATTTAGTAACTTTCCATTGTTTCGGTGGAATATACCAAGCTCCATAGCGTAATCTTTCAAAATGCTTTAATTAGGAGGGAAAAAAGGATAAAGAATGGTGATATTTTCTATGATGTAAAGGATTCTGACAAGGAATGATATTTATTAAGTTATACAGAATATATGAGGTAATTTCTTTTACGATAAAGAGTCACTTTGTTTGGACAGTAGTAACTAGTGTGATGTGTCTGGTCCTTTGTTTGGTGTGGAGTGAATTCTATCAGTCAGGTTTGCAGTGTGGCCACCATTCTAGGTAGCTCGCCATCACGATGCGCTTTGAATTGTTGATATTAGATGGTTGGAGACGATCGGCAGGAAGCCTTCGACCTAGGTTTCATACTAGTTGGCACTCACCAGTCAGCAAGGTGTATCTGCTACCTTGAAGGAAATCATGTCTTTTCTGAGATTCGAATAGCTCAGTGGTAACGTCTCTGACCGCAGTACTGGGTTACATGGGTTCGAATCTCAGAAGGGAAATGAGTTCCTTCAAGGTTGCAGATACGCCTTGCTGACGAGTGCCAACTAGCACGAAACCTAGGTCCAAGGCTTCCTGCCGATTGCCTCCAACCATCTAATATCAACAAAGAGTCCCTTTCTAAAGCTACATACTTGCATTTATATATATATATATATAAATGCAAGAACTGAGAATTCAGGTTTCGTGCTTGGTGGCCCTCGTCAGCAAGTCATATCTACAACTTTTAAGAAACTGATTCTGTCTCAGAGATTTAAATCAATGTCACTATGTTCTGTAAACTTGACTGATAGAATTCAGTTGGTACCACCACTAAGTACTAGACACGACAATGGTTACCCCTTAGCGACTAATCATTACAGTCTTACAGGAGGCCTGCTGTGTACTTGGGTAGCTCGCCAGTTATTAAGCAGTAGATTGTCAGATGGTTAGGTGCAATTCTAGAGTTCCTTGCTACATATCCTTCCTGTCCTGCCATCTGACCTTCGCTACCGAACAAAGATAAATGTTGATGAAAATCTGAGTCAGCCTGCTTGCAATGCTTCTGTTGATGATGAAGCAGACAGAAGCACTGACCTGACATCGGTTTTAAAAAATTTGTATCATCTTCCATGTTCCGAGTACTAAATATCTCCACATCGAGTTTAGAGTAATGAATACCTGTTTTGATTTCCTTATCCTGGCTAACCTTGACATCCTCACTCGTGTCACCTGCATTTGAAATGACGCTGCTGAGAAAAGTTAAAGAGATGACTTCCTTTAGATTTCTCCCGTTGGAGAAAATTAGTGTTTCTTGGACATTTTCATCACCTCTTTCCTTTCTGTTTTCACCTGAAAGTATGTCTTGATGGGTTCTTCTACCGATTTGTACGTTTTCTCTTGTTTATCCTCGAGTTTAACAGACGCGAGACATAAACCATCCCCAAAATCCAGATCTTCAGGCTAATTTTGTCAGTTTAAAGTGTGCCTATCTTCTCACTTCATATCGTCTGGCATTTTTAAAAATCTTAAATGAAAATAGTTAGATCCCATTAGTTTCTATTGTATTGCATTTACTTTAACGAATTCACATTTCTAGTTTCAAAATATACTTGATCTTTCAGTAAAGCTTATACTATATTTATTCGCTTATTCGGAAGTATGTTGTAATTTACTCTGAACGTAAGTTGCTTGTGTTTTTTTATGGAATATACTTGTAGGTGATCCTTTCTTGGATACCTTTGGTTTGACAAACTGTTATTGAAACAATAGGCAATGATCGAAGGTAAAATGGAAGCCTATGGCGTGGTAGGATTTAGACCAGTCCGATGCTCTGTCAGTTGACCTACGAGAATCATTTCCTAACCTGACCTTCATTTCATTGTTATCATCATGGGTTATATCCATCTGTCGTGTGAGTATTTTTTGCGTATCCACCAGTTCAACATCATCACACAACCTGCCTACCTAGGTGTTCATGTGTCAATTCCAATCATAGTGAATTTGTAGAAGAAGAGGAGGTTGTCAGTCACTTTTCAGGCTATTTTAAACCACCTTCAGTTGATGGACTGATATCAGTCGGAACGTTAGTGATTGATAGGGCGGTGAAACCATAACAATTTTCTGTCTTTAATTTAGGAACTGTCAAACATTCTTTTTCCATAACTTCATCTGTAGTGTATTGTGCAACCATTAGTTCAAGTAGTCATTATGTCACCACACTCTCTTTTTTCCAGCTTCTGTAGGCGATATACATCAGTGAAGAAAACTATCCTGAAGTAACTTGTTTCATAATCCAAAAAAAATAACAGAGATGTGAATAACTGCTGAATACTCTTCAGGTTGATGATTAAATCTTTTCACCTATCTCCGATATCTACGAAACACAAAATAATCGAGCAGAGAATATCCTTTTCGATAAATTCCTCTTCTGACTTTACAATTATATATATGCTTATATACACAGAATATTCTAGATTAGTAGTCAATAACAATATTAATGTTTTTTAAATAATATCGATTTGTAAAGTATGATCAATGGAATTACAGTTCATTAAAGATGCTTAAATAATAATAATAATAAAGATATAGTAGCGAATAGAATATCAACTAAAATTAAGAAAATTCCACAAAAATTCAGGATCATTCAAACCTAGATGGCCAAGGTAATGATAATGTCTGAACTAACTTCTTTTGGATGCATAAATTAGGCTTGTTAATATGGATCCCCACAGCCTCAGCAATATTTAGTAGTCAAACTCTTAAGGCAAAATTGAGATTCGTAGGTATGCGGTAATTGACCCTGAAAGCATGGTTAACGTCAATCTTGTGTTGTGTATCCACAAAATGAGATAGAATAGGGCTGCGAATAGATTTCGTTTGTCCTTTGCTTAACCACGCAGGGTGATAATCGGAAATTCAACGAGAAGCACGCCAAATTGTATGGCCTATCTCATCTTGCGGATACAGAACACAAGATTGACGTAAACCATGCTTTCAGGGTCATTTACCGCATACCTACGAATCTCAATTTTGCCTTAAGAGTTTGACTACTAAATATTGCTGAGGCTGTGGGGATCCATATTACCAAGCCTAATTTATGCATCCAAAAGAAGTTAGTTCAGACATTATCATTACCTTGGCCATCTAGGTTTGAATGATCCTGAATTTTTGTGGAATTTTCTTAATTTTAGTTGATATTCTATTCGCTACTATATCTTTATTATTATTATTTAAGCATCTTTAATGAACTGTAATTCCATTGATCATAGTTTACAAATCGATATTATTTAAAAAACATTAATATTGTTATTTTTCGATAAAGAAAGGAAGACGAAATTTGCAGTATAAAATGATATCATTCTATTTCACAGGTTCTCATCAGCTGCAGACTACCTGAAATTACAATGGTTATATAAATGATAATAACACACTTTAATGTTTAGGTAGTAGTACAGAAGAGATAAAATTGACGCATCCAAAAAGAATGAAAGCATTACAATTTTTAGTTTAAGTTATCATCATCAACTTATACACTTTTAAAGTTGGAAAGAGGGGGGAGGAGTAAGACAGAAAACAGAAAAATTGATTAACAGAAATAGTGTTAGCTTGTAGGTTTACATAGTAACTCCAAAAAACAAAGGCGGTTACAGTTTATGAGATTAAGATTTGTTCAGTGAGTTGAGAGATCACTGAATTAGATGACTAATTATTGTAATCAAAATCAAAATTCAGTTACCAAGGTAGTGAGAGGTTAATCACACTCTCTTTCTGTAGGCATAAGTCTGGTTTAAATCGTTTGATTGCGATCGCTTCGGCAAATCGTAGTAAATTTGCTGTCCTTTGTCTATTTAATATTTTGAAGGACTTAGAAATCTCTGCGAGATTGTAATTGACTACTAATCTAGAATATTCTGTGTATATAAGCATATATATATATAATTGTAGAGCCAGAAGGGGAATTTATCGAAAAGTATATTCTTTGCTCGATTGTTTTGTGTCTCATAGATGTCTGAATGAATATTTTTGCTATATCTTGGATATGTAGAAAATTAAATAGAATGCATCTTGTCAATCTAATAGACCCATTTTAAAACCATTGAGCTACGAAGTGGTGGAACTCATCTACCTTCTATCTCAAATACTTTGGCAGTTAGGCAGCCTGACAAATCTTCTTCTTCTAAGCTAGTGTAATTCAAAACTGTTGTTTACAAAAAAAAAAATACTTGCACTGTATATTTTAATTAATGCCACTGAATGGCAATGTGTCTATGTGATTTTCAATCCCTCTAATTAAAGAAAAAATAACATTAATTGTTCACTAAGACAAAAAAAAACAAATAAACAAACAGTATGTTCTGAATTCAATTTATTTCTTTATAAAGTCACACTAGTTCTATAATTAGGTCAGAACTGAATGACACTTTGCACACACACACACACAGAGAGGCACATCAAGTCATTTACTTGGATGTTAGTCCATTGGAAGGCTAATCGATAAAATATCATCATCAGTATGACTTAGATGAGATATTTTATCAGTTGGTTAAGTGCACATCAGTGTGTATTTACTACGATCAATATATAAGCACTTCTCATTCAATATGCATGTATATATTGTATATTTTGCCTCCCAGTAGATAAATACTTTTAGCCATAGAGTTACTTTTGACATGTCAACAGTCAGTCAGACCGAGGATATAGGCTCTACAACAAGGTATTGGACCAGATCAAAATTTTTCTTGTTACCAGGGCATAGTCTTATAGACTTAGAATACGCAGACGACATAGTCCTGTTAGGGCAGGACGCTGACAAAATGCAGAGTCTTCTGAACACCTTGAGCAGCAATCTTTGTATGTTTGGCATGCGATTCGCCCCTGTAAAATGTAAGATGCTGCTACAGGACTGGACTACGTCAACTCCTAGCTTAGTGATAGGGAGTGAAGTGATAGAACATGTTGACAACTTCACCTATTTGGGAAGTTGTATCAGCACCAACGGACTGATTGACGACGAAATCTCATCACGGATCCAAAAGGCTCGAACTACTTTCGCTAACTTACACCGTCTC